TTACTAGGGAAGCTGGGCACCTTAAATGTTAAATATATGCATGATTTTCACTTAAAAAGTATATGTGTAGCGATATTTTGTTTCGACTTGCCACATTGGTATCCTGTCATCTTTACCTTATGCTTTACATACTCAGTACATTGTCCGTACTGACCCCCCTTTCCTCGGGGGGCTGCGTTTCATGCCCGCAGGTGTAGACGTGCAGTTCGGTGATCCTCCCGCCTAGGATATCTGCTCTGCTGATTGGGAGAGCTCCACTGTTCCGGAGCCCAGTCGTTTTGGTACATAACTTTTGTGTAGTCTTTTGCTCGTCTATGGGTATGGCGGGGCCCTGTCCCGTCGAGTTTCACTAATGTACTCTTAGAGGTCTGTGGACATTATGTGGGTTGTATATATATGTTTTGGATAATGGTCTGGACTTGGTTTGTTTGGGATGTCCGCTTGTACAGGGGCAGCCTTGTCGGCTGCGTACATCATTATGCTTTGAATAGTGGCGGCCTTGTCGGCTCGCGTATGCTGTTATGGTTGAATGGTTATGACTCCTTATGAGACAGGTCCTCTTATATATATATATGACGTTGGGGTTGGCTTGATTTGATTAAATTTCATATTGTCTTAGTTTCAGTTGGTCATACTTAGCAGGTTTGTATGTGGGTGTCCAAAACGGGCACTAATCACGGCCTATCGGGTTGGGTCGTGACAAAATGAGAAGGTAAGGAGAAAATGTAATTAAAATAAGGTGAGGTTGTGGTGGTTCGATCCCGCACCTTCTTAATTTAAACGAATGAAGCAAGTAAATAAAGGAAAAAGTAAAGAATGTGGGCATGGGTTTTTGATCATGGGTCCCCCATGCCTAATTGTTTAAGGGAAAAATAAAAAAAGAGAAAGAAAGTATAGGTGTGGGGAATTTATCTCGGGTTCCCTAGCCAAAGAGTTTACGACAACGAAAATCTTTAAAAAAATTAACTAAGTGTTATACATGGTATTTGAAATAGGGATCCCTTGCCCAATTCTGTATTGACACCTAATACTTACCTGATTAAATAATTAATGAATGCTGCCTATAGGAATAAAATTGAGACCTTGGCATACTTACAAGATGCATAAGTCTTATATCACATAATCTTGAGCAATATGAATCGCTTAAATGAACTATTAATGAAGCCACATAGCTTGTGTGTGTGGACTCATAAGTCCAAGATGTTATGTGATGAATGATGAGACTAAAGAAGGGTTAAGTAAGAGTGTGAAAAACACTAAAAGGACAAGTGCATTGGCATATGATGAAATGAACATTTACGTAATAAGGAGTGAGTAATTATAAAGGGAAAATATGCTAGACTAATGAATATGGTGACAACATGATAAGTGGCCAATGTGAATCATGAAAGCAATCTCAAATGAGCCTAAGTAAATGTTACCAAAATGTACTCACCTATGAGAGTGTAAAGTTAATGAAGAGATAGTCCTTATGAACACTTTAATGAAAGTATTAAAGTTAATGCACACTTAAAACTTATAATGAGATGAGAAATCATCAAATAAGCAATGATGTCCTCATGCTTGAAGCCAATTTCTATGATGTATGAGATGAATATAGTGGAATTTAATACTGAGCGCCGATAGGCTTGCTATGAATGGTGATTCCTTCTTTCGAGATGGTAGAGGTTCGTGTAATTCTCATGAGATGAGATTGTCCGTCCAGATGGGTATGTGTCTCCTTGTATCTCCTAGTCTTTGCCTATGAATCCAACATAGGGGTGTAGGAGGGTTCAATCCCCTACATACACTGCATGTTTTTGGTTTAACTTTGGCAGGTGATTCCACCTTTTTTCAGTGTGGGGTAGACACAGGATTTCATGGAGCTCACATGATCTATGTCGGTTAAATTTAAAATTCCCAAAGAAAGAATGAGGCCAACCTCATATAATGAACACAATGAAATGAACGATACCAAAGGTGTTAACGGATAATCAAGAGGTTAATTAGACTTATGTAATAACATTAGGTCATTCTTAGTCATTGTACAGTGAACCCAATGAAAGTCTTAAACTAAATCCTAGGTATAGCTGGTGTTTACACGAGTCTTTGACTGAAATAAAATGAAGAACGTATGAATGAATGAAGCGGACTCTATGTTTGCTAAAGAAGGCTCCCTAGTTGAGGTCCCATATGTTGAGCTCTCATTTGGGAAGTCCTAATGTGAAGTCCATGATTCAAAGGTCTCACGGCATATGAACTAATGAAATGAAATATCATATGTTCTATATGAAATATGTTTTGTGTTGTGTGCAATATGATACGTATGATGATGCATGCCTTTACTAATCCGATTTTGGCAAGTTCACTGACTTGACTTTCCACAACTCATATCGTTAGGAGAGAGCTATTATAAATCATATATGTATGTGATGTGTGCTTGCATATACCATACTTATTACCATTGTGTACTAATCCCATATTTATCTACTTTTATGTGTAGGTGCAGCTGGACATTAGATCTTACGAGTCGACGTAGAAGTTATTTGGACGTGGAGCTTTAATATGGATTTTTTAGCCCCTCATGATTTTGAGGATGCTTACTGGTTTATTCTAGCGTAGACGTAGGCATGAGCTAGTGGAGTATGTTCCATTATCATTTCTTTCGTATTTACTTTCAGACGTTGTATTGGTGCCATTTTGGCTACTCTATATTTATGAATATATCTTTCATTTGATTATCTTGATTTAGATGGTTGTAGTGAACGCTTATGAGTTTACGTAGAAAGTATAATGCGAAATCAATATTTTCCAATATAAAGTTTAAGTAAACAAAAGTTCAAATTTTCCGCTAAAATTAACCTAGAAAAAGTAACAATGATGTATGTAGGTTTGTCTGCGACCATTAAGAGGTAAACAACGCCGGTCTCGTCTGGGGTCTAGATTTTGGTCATAACATATACCCTATAAGTATAGATACAATTAACTTCTGTATATTAAAATACATTAACTTCTTTGGAATATTTTCTTAACAGACAACCATCACTATGAGACTAAGTGATCACACAAAGTTTTACCTCACGTTTCCAAGGACCATCGTATACCTTGCCATTAGTATATGACCTTACTTAACTAAGCGGACCCACTAGATTAACTTATGTGATCATCTAAAGAGTATGACCCATTAACACCCATGATGACTAAATAGTTTACATGGGGACTTGAGTCAATATGAACTCTTATCCCCACATCGGTGCTCAATACTACTCCTAAAATATACTTTAGCTCATACTTTTACAATAACTTCTTTACTTTCGGTTGAGATAATTTGCTCAACACTTTAGCTTTACAGAAGCTCCTTTGGCATCGGTGTTTCTCTTTCTTATTCAAAACTCTTTTGGGAAGACTTAGTTCCCTCTTAAATTAAATGTCAAACATTTATAAATTTCATAGGGAATACGTAATTTCCTTATATCTTTTGAGAACGAACTCAACTCTTTACTCTTTACTTAAATAGAAACTTAACTGTTAAGGAATACGTAGTTCCCATATAGCTTTTGAGAATATAACTCAACTCTTTCTTTAACTCAAAACTTGAGACTTAAAGAAAAGTTAAAACTTTTGAATAAGACTCTTTGAAGCTTTAAGAAACTTTACTTTAAGTTAGTTTATAGATTTAGACTTGGCTTTTTACTTTCGTTGACTTTGATCTTCACATTCCTTTAATGGATTATGTATTCAGGTTTTGATTTGTCTTTTTTGATGATTTCAAGGTATTTAAAAATCATTTGAAGTAAGTACAATCGTTGGAGGGTGTTCATGTACCTTTAAAGGACTTTAGAGGACGAAACTATGAAAACATGATAAAAACATCGGGTTGGGCGTACAAGTGGTGTGTTGCGCTAGCCTCAGGTTACTAGGGCCTTGTTCAGGTGTAGTGGTTGCGCGCCGCGCCAGTCCTTGGTTAACTTATTCCAATTTCGGCCGCACTATAGGTGTGTCGTGCTTGCCCCTACCCATGTGAGTTTGAGGAATTTTTCAACTTATTTTTCATCTCCAAACCTTCTTAGTTTCTTCACTGAATGCCTCAGGCTATTTGAACTCTTCATTACTATCCAATTAGACTCAAAAATGACCCAGAGAAACAAGAATTCATTACACAATGGTAGCCAACAATCCATTAAAAAAGAAATAAAACTTTTCTTCAAGAAATTGACTTTTAACGTGAAATACACTCATAAATTGCTAAATTGGAACACATTTGTGTGTGGGTGAATTATCTCAACAGAACCTTAAGCGTGAATATTTTCATGGCGTTCATTATATCCCACATACCTCAATAGGGATCATCTCTGATGAATTCCATGCGACGACCATGGTGTTCTGGATGAATCCTTGAACTTTTTTCCCTTTTTCAACTTATCCTCTCTATTTTCCAAAACCTTAAGCGTGAATATTTTTCTCAAACTAAATTAAGGTTTAGGTTTCCCCAAATAAACCCTTAAAAGAAATTAGGAAACAGCAGGTCAAAAAGACCACTTTACCCTTACTAAAATCCTGATTGGACTTTCCTCAGTGTAACAAACCAACTTTCCGAAGGCATATCTCCCTCATATTATATTAAAAATCAGAAAGCGTGGCTTCCTTGGAAATATATTCACCTGAGCTAGAAGTTATAGCCATTTGAAAATGACCAAAAATCACCTTTAAAACTTAGGAAACTTTCCTGATTTTTCCTATTCTTTCCAATAATAACTATTTGGATTACGAGATGTTAAAATATCTTCCCCTTAGGTACATTCATCCTCGAATGAGAAGTCTTTCACTAAGTTAAAGGTAGCAACATCATTTTAGAACTCAACAATAAAAGCAAGTAATAATATGCTAACACAGTCTTATAAAATGCTATGAAAAGTATTTAGTATCTTGATTTGCGTTCTCTCCTGATTCAAAGAGATGTGGACACCTCTTCTTCATATCCTCCTCATATTCCCAAGTCTCTTCTTCAACTAATTGATTCCTCAAAAGACCTTGACTGATTTAACTTTCATATTTCTCAACCTGCAAAGTTGACAATCTAAAATCTGGACCAAAATCTCCTCATAGGATAACATATCCTTAATCCCAACATTATCAGTTGGTACAGCCAATGAAGTATCACCCAAGAACTTCTTCAACATAGAAATATGAAATGTCGGATGAACTGCTGCTAACTCTTCAGGTAGCACGAATTCATAAGCTACATTACCAACTCTTTTAGGGATTTTGTAAGGACGAATATACCGGGGAATAAGTTTCCCCTTCTTGCTAAATATCATAGCATCCTTCATGGGTTAAACCTTCATATATACCCAATCATCCACGTCAAACTCTAACGGTCTTCTCCTTGCATTTTTGTAGGACTTTTGGTGACTCTGTGTTGTTTTCAAGCTCTCTTGAATCACCTTTACCTTCTTCATGTCTTGGAGAACTAGATCTTTTCCTATCAATCCTTCTTCACCAACCTCAAACTAGCCAATAGGAGATTTGTATCTTCTCCCATAAAGAGCTTAATATAGATCCATTCGGATGCTCGGATGGTAACTGTCGTTGTAAGAAAACTCAATGAGAGGTATAGGATCATTCCAATTCCGATTGAAGTTGATCTGACAAGATCTCAACATATCTTCTAAAGTCTAGATAGTACACTCTACTTATCCATCTTTCTGGGGATTGAAAGAACTTCACAAGTTCACCTTTGAACCCAAACCTTTCTGGAAAGATTTCAAGAACTATGCAGCAAATTGTGATCCATTATCTAAAATAGTGGAGAACGGAACTCCATGCAATCTCACTACCTCTTGTAAGTACAACTTAGCATAATCCTCAGCCTGAATAATCGTCTTTACCTGCAATAATGTGTTGACTTTGTCATTCTATCAACAAGTATCCAAATAGAATCATATTGCCTCTGAGATCTTAGCAAGCCTGTGATAAAGTCCACATTAATCATCCCACACTTTCATTATGGAATTTCTATAGTCTGAGCCAAACCTCCAGGCTTTTGGTGGTCTACTTTCACTTGCTGGCAGTTCGGGCACTTGGCAACAAACTCAACAATATCTTTCTTCATGCCTTCACACCAATATATCTCTCCCAAATTGCTGTACATCTTGGTGGAACTAGGATGAATTGAATATATGGAGCTATAAGACTCCTCTAGGATCCTCTTTTAGATTTCATATGACCTAGGAAAACACAATCTACCTTTTTACTTTGTCACACCATCTCCCTCTTGTTCAAATCTAATACTATTTACATATGAACCTTCGTCTTCAAATCAAGAAAAATGGGGTCTTGGTCTTGCTTTTCTTTCACCTCAGACACTAGTGATGATTCATCCCCATTGGTCACCACTATCCCTCCATTTGTGGAATCCATAAGTCTGACTCCCAAGAGTGCAATTGTGTGCCCCTCTTTAGCCAAATCCCTTATTTATTCCTCCACATGGGTGGTACTCCCTATGGATTGGCATCAGCAACTACATTAGCCTTACCTTGCTGGTAAAGAAAATTGATGTCATAATTCTTTAGTAATTCTAACCACCTTCTTTGTATGAGATTTAGCTACTTCTTAGTGAATGATATTGGAGGATCTCTTTATTAGTGATATGTCAACTTGAACACCATACAAGTAGTGACATCATATTTTAAAAGGAAAAACTACTGCATCCAATTCTAAGTCATAAGTGGGATAATTTTACTCATGAACCTTCAACTATCTAGAGGCATACACTATGTCCTTGCCATTCTGCATCAACACATAGACCAAGTTAACCTTCGACGCATCAATGTACACCGCAAAACCCTCAGTACCCTTTGGTAAGGTCAAAACCGGAGTAGTAGTCAATCTCTTTTTCAACTCTTGAAAACATCTCTCACAAGCTTTAGACTGTTGAAACTTGATTGTCTTTTAAGTTAGCTTGATCGAAAGAGATGAGATACATCAAAAAACCTTCAACAAACCTCCTATAGTAGATAAACAAATCAAAGAAACTCCTTATATATGTTGGAGGCGTAGGTTTGGGACAACTCTGATGTCACATGAGGGGAGAACGCCCTGGATGTAACGACGTTGCCTTCCTCATTCAGGACTAAGACTAGCCTCTTAACTTACATCATTAAAATCATAGGTTAAAATGCGTAAAATTTTAAATTTTTCTTCCATCTATCGTTAGGTTTACATAGACCTTTCACATACACAAAATATAGTCATATTGAGTATACATAAATCCTTCATATAAGAAGATTACTTAGTCTTGTATTTTTATTGCACATATATTTGTATAAGATATAATTAGTATTGAAACCGGATGTCTCATCTCATAACCATCTATTAACAGTATAACTAATGGGCCTAGTCCATACATCAATACAATAAAAGCCATATATAGGCTATACAATCTTTACTATTCAAATTAAAGGAAATGAACATATTGTCTTTAAGAATAATCAATATTGAACATATTGTCTTTAAGAAATGAACATATTGTCTTCAACGATCGAAACCTAAAATGCTGGAGAAAAGGGAGATAATCGGGTTAGCAGATCACTTGTACTAACTATTAGTCCATATGCACACACAACATAAAATCATGCTAAAGAGGGACATTTCAATAAAGTATGCATTTTACTTTGAAAAGCCTTATGCACATTTAAGAAACCATAACAATCAATAAGACATATTATTTAATCCAGACCATGTACATCACAACACCAACAATACTAAGTCTATTCAAGTCAACATGCATATCATCACAATTGATCACATAATCAAGACAACTCTATCATCAAGTCATAACATCAACAAGCATTGATAAGAGTTCATGACATCATAACCAAAGACCATAACTGATGAACCCTCATTAAGAAGTTCAGTAGTGCAATAACTAAGTAATGCCCCATAACCTTGCTCAATCAAGTAAATCCAACAAGAACCTAAACAATGTCCAACTTCACATAGCATATCATTAAGAGTACATAGCATCATAATTTAGCAATAGAGACTAAAAACATGTTCATAAGTAGCAATAGAGACCAAACACATGTTCATAAGTAAAACAAACATCATATAGTATCATCAACATGTAAAATCATCATGTACAATAATTTACATTCATAAGCTTATACATATATAAAAAAAATCCCTCTAAAACTTTCATCAAGGCCAACTAGTGCAATGTATAGGTAGAGTCCCATACCCCTACCTAGACTAAGCTATATCCATTAGGTTACCCTAGTTAGAGTTAATTTGTTTAGTTCATTTTACATTTTGGGAACATATTGCCTTAAAAACATAGACCACATGAGCTAATGGGGAATCTGGAGACATGGAACGCTACATTGAAGGAAGGCGGACTACTTGCCAAGGTAGTACCAAAACATGAACATAGAATCTAGGTGGATCCACTAGCTAATATTCCTATGGGGGCAATAAAGTTAAATAACTAGGACATGTAGTTGGGACCCTCTTTATGCTACATGCATTTTAGTCTCCAATGTCATGAGTACATTAGTGATCCTAACTTCCTTATGTGGGAAGGGACACTCCTCACTCTAGTTCACTCGGTGCAAAGCTTGACTCCCTTTTTTCAAATATCTTTAATGCCTTTATTAATCATCATAGATTAACGTACTTCATAGGGTCTATCTCTTATATAATCATCATCATCATAGCTCAATAAGAATTGCATGAGTTTTGTCCATTCAGTACAATTCTTATATATGAGGTTATCACATTACATAACCACATCATAATAAGGTACATTGGTAAGTTGTCAACATCCTTATAACATTAAAATCTTAGCCAACAACTCCAAATTGATAGTTCAAGACATTTGAACTCAACATCATACCAATCCTATCAATCTTCACATAAGGTATACTTCAATACAATATCATCACTTAATCACAAGTAGCCAAAATTGAAGTAAAGAATAGAGATCACAAGACTTAATAATCTCCTTCACAATGCCATCATCAAGGTATTACCATCAAACCACAAATTAAAAACAACATTGGGTGTAATATAATTAGACAATAATAACCATCATCATATTGAAGTCAACTAAATCATTAAACAATAATTCTTTACTAGTTCATAGCCTAGAATTAGAGACTTAGATCAAATTCATAATCTACTTCACGGCCTCGGTCAAATACTTAAGAACTAGCATAATTAGATTACAATATATCAAAATATACTCATAAATTAGCATGAAAATAACATAGGATAGTAATTCAGACAGTAACTAAACCAATTGTATCAATACTATATAGTTCAATGAAAGATCACAACTTGGGGTTAAGGGGAAATGATCATCTTCCACAAACAAGGTTAAATTATCAAGAATTAGTATTATGTAATCATAATACACGTTAATTTACACATAATAATCTAAATATATACTAAACAAAGCAATTCACAAGATCAATTTTGTATTGAAAGAAAACCCACTTGAATTTCATACTTTTGAAATCAATTTGGAGGATCCCTTTAGGTAAAGAAATACCAAATGTTAATGAAATCCTATACCTTACTAATTGATGAAGTTTGATTGAAAAAATTCATCCTTTTCAGAACTAGAACCCTTCTTTGTTATGTCTTGAATGGGGCTTCTTTGGGAGATAGAAATTAAAGAGAAGTAGGAACAATTTTGGTTTGGGAAATTATGAGGGTTAGGTTAGTTTAATTAGGTTATGTTTTTTATATAGGTCATTGAATAACTTAATTAGACGTCCATTAAACCTTAACTTATTAACTAACCACCTTATTAATTAATTTAACTAACCTTAAAATGTGCAACAAAAATAGTCTTGACAGATGAGACCACGACCAAAGGCCTGTTTGTTAAGCAACGGGCACTGTTCAGGTCCGTCCTGTGCAGTCGCCATTTTTCTCGGATAGTGTCTAAAATGAATTCTCCATAAATTGGATAAGTTTTCATCGACGGTGGACATTGACTCCTCGTCGATTGGACCACGAGCCATCGACTGCAATCTGTCATTGGACATTGCCTTTTTGCATCTTTTGCCAAATTGCATGGGTCCTCTTCAAGGGCCCTTAGTTGTTCCTTGAGGATTTTTACTAAGACTTTTTACTATAAACTAACTCTAATACGTGTTCGACACCTTACCACCAAATTTCATCATCTTACCGACTGTAAAAACATAGTCAAATAGGCTAAGGCACAGTAGCACCTCTTGAACTAGTTTCCTGACGTCATGGACGTTCCTTGATGTTTTGATTCCAAAACTTCTTAAATGACTTGTATACATAATAATTGACTTAA